GCGTTGACAAAAGTCGCAAGTCTATAAAACTAACATGGTCCGTAGATTTGATGCAGCACATCGTTTTGGTTGCCTTGTTTTATTACTTCTCCTATTCAACGTGATTTCAGTGGGTGTGGTCTAGCTTCAGCATATAGTATTGTGCCAACTAAGCTGCATGCAAACCTAAGGACAAACTATTTTTTCTTTAAAACCTGCAGCGACTGCAAGCCAATGTTTGGTCTTGTCGTTGGCTACGAACTATTTATGAACACTCAGAAAGTGCTTGAAAACTATTTTTAGCTACAGTTCTCAAAACGACTCTCATACGTTTAAATTAGTTCAATGCACTGAGGCGCCATACTTCGGTGAAGAATTGGGGTGGCGGATTTTATGAACGATAGCTATTGTCAACTGGTAGTTTGGGACGCGCTTGGTGCATGGCTCAGCACACAAAAATAATCATATTCACTTTCCTCACCCTACTAGTGCTTTCTTCAAGTTTTTAGAGCCTTCGAAAAACTTGTAAAGATCAAAACAACGGCTGTCAATTAGAGCTATCGTTCACAAAGTCATACACCCAAGAATTGTACTTGTGATTGGTTCTGCAGACAGTATTGTACACAAATATCCACCTTATCGCTGCTAATTGATTAATGTTTATTTGCAACCATCAAAAACATTGTGTCGACCTATCGTTATCGGGTCATTATGTCATGTTTGGAATTGCGAGTAAACCTTTCTTGTCTTTTGCTTTCCAATGTGTGCAAGTCTTTTTCCTTGCTCTCATCCTTACAAAGAATTTCCTAGAAATATCTTTACAACGATATAATCTGTAAATTTGCATTTTCTATCTGCTCATTGAATTGAGTAACTAATGTAACCATAACAGGCCGTGCTGATGCTTCTGGAAAAGAAAATAATCTTGTGTCCAAACTTTATTCTGGACAAGAGTGAAATAAAGACATAGTGCACTCCTATATCAAATGTAAGCAGTTGCTGCTTTCAAGAAGGCATATGAGATTCCGACATGAGAGTTGTAAAGATGCGTTGTAATTTACACAAAAATTTCTAAATTGGCACAAAGAAGCGGAAGTAGTCCCGAATTCAATACACGTACTCCATTGACTCAGTGTGTGTTTGCTACACAGATAGCTTTGGTCGGCTAGTCGCCTCACTTTTTCCTCTTTTTGGCCTCTTTAATAGAATCACGAAGAAAGTTCAGAACAACGCTATATGCTGGGCTTGAACGTTCGGATGGTTTGCACACGTTGTGGTGGGACTGCAAAATTTGATTCTTAGTGATCACTATCATCACTCGCAGCAGATCCGATGAACTAACCTCCTCGATGTGATAAACGGCACCCCGTTCGTACACGGCAGATTGTGTCGGAACGATTATACCCTTGGCAGTGCCTAAAAGCTTGAAATGAGTGCATTCTATTTTTATATGCTTGCTAATTCCAGTTAATAACAAAATGAATACTCTTAGAATCCATCTCATTTTGCAGAAGCAACTCCTGATAATCAAAATGATAATACAGCTACTCTCCTACTGTGTAAAAGTTCAGTTAAACAGCGGAAAGGACCAAAAACAGATGAGCACCGGCGTCCTTATAGCTGCACAATTCTTTGCTAGATTCACAACATGTAACAAAACTACTAAAACGGTTTTCACATATGAGCAGATGAAGGGCCGTAGATGGTTGATCAATCAAAATCACAACCACTGTATATACTAGATAAAATCACGCAAAGCGA